CCCCCGCGGTGCCCCACCTTCTTGACATCCCGCAGGTCCTCGAACAGCCCTATGAATGGCATCTCGCGGATCGGCTTGAGGCCGTAGCGGCGGACGTCCCCGTTCTCACAGGGGTCGCGGGCTGCAGCGGGAGGCGCGGCGCGGGCCGCGGGCGCGTCAGTCACAGGGATACAGGCGTTTCTGTTTGCGCCTACATCTAACCCATGCGCGGTTATTGAGAACGGAGAATCGCATGAAACCTAACATGTCACTTGGGGGTTGAGCAAGCTCAGAGTTGGAGCGCAGAAAGCGGAGCAGCCGCGATGCACGGAAATGACACAGTGGATGCCTCAGCTGCCACTACTGCGCAAGCCGCCACAAGAGCCCCAGCGGACTGAAACAGTTGATAAACATGCCGGGCGGTCATTAACCCACCGCTTGCACCGGTGCGGAATGGCCAGCGCGCCCAGGCAGGCCACAGGCTTGTGCTGTCAATAGGCTGCATCCGGTGCGCATCGCCACCTATTGCGGGTGCACGAGCTGCAGACGCCAGCGTCGCAACAGCGACCATCAACACGAAATATTGCACCAGGCACGACCCCATTCTGACTGACGTGCAGGTATTGAGACTACTTTGGCTGCTGCGCAGCATGCGAGATCAAAGGGCTGCAGATCTGTGGGTCGCAAGCCAGCTGCGCAGGCAACACCAAAAGTCACAGTGTCGGTTTGCGTCTGTATTGACAGCTCACGGAAGGTATCACCGTGATGGATGTAAACGTCATCAGTCAGGTGCCGAGGTGCGTACGTACAACTCACAGGCACGATGGTATGATATTGGCTCAAAGTTTTTACACTTAACAAACCGTTGGTATTATCTCTCGCCGTATTACACCATGGGATGTTGCGTATGTGTCCGACGAGCGCCAATGGTCAATAGCGTGCACGCACGCGTCACCTCACAGCATCAGGTCTGGCCACAGCCGCTCGCAATGTTTGTAACTAGAGGGAGTCAGGATACATGCAGAGAACACATGTAGTTTGAGACTGTTCAGTGGCAGTGGATCTGTGTGGGTCGCGGCAGCTGTGCAGCCGCGTTTACAGCTGCTGAGCTGGAGCTGGGGTCTGTGGCAAAGCGGCACCAATCAGCGCAAACAGTACAACAGTTGCAGGCATGTCAGACAGCCCAGGTGCAGGAGGCCCCTGATAAGCAGCTGAGAGGGCTGCAAGCAGGTCAACAGCTGCAGAATCTGCACTTTTACAACAGGTCATGTTGAGGCTTGCAGCTCGGGGGCTTCAACACCAGCTGTCGCCACCGCAGCCGCCTCTCGCTTATGCAACGCAGGCCGGCTTGTGTTCCCGTGTGACCGAGCCTCCACCCTCCAGCCGCACACGAGTACAGCCTTAAGGGCGTCAATAGACGCGGGCGCCAAAGCCAGTACATGGCAACACTGCACTCACGGCAGCGCGTGCACAGCTCATCAATGCACGAGCAGGTGCGACGCTGGCAAGTACCGTGTGCAAGCACGAGCACTCACACACCATGATGATGGTTCAGTAAGAAGGTGTACAGTCAGCAGGTGCGTAGTATGTGTACAGGGAAGTGCAGAGAGAGAACAGAGTGCCATGCACATCAACAACAACCAATCTGGTGGGGAGCCAGGGCAGCCGGCTCGGCGCCCAGAACAGCCGCAGCACGGCGAGCGCAGCTGGCACCCGCAGGCGTGTGACCGGAGGATAAGCACAAAGCTGTCGGGTAAATAGACTGCTGCCGGCCCTCACCAGGACGCACGCGCCCCACTGGAGGCGCGCATGTGCATCTGCAAACGGCGCGCCCATTTCGCGCATGAGTCAACCACTGTGCATCATAGCCCACCACTCACTGCCCGCCTACGGAGGCCGGCCGAAACAACCCACTCTGACAAATCAGTGGAATCTTGGAAAGGGTTAGTCTCCGACAAGGCACTCAAGAACCGCTGGAACAGATGCACAGGCTGTGTGCTCAATGGATCCCTCAACAGGGCGCCAGGCATGAATGCTGCTTGGGCCAAATGGGGAGCAGAAGCCACGACAAGCCGTGGGCACGCAGGCGCGAGGTTGCAGCACGCAACTCGCAATCGTGTTTGCTGCGCAGGGCCGCAGCTGGGGCATCACCACCACCCGAGCACCTTCCACCATCCCATGCCAAACGTGCCCCAAATGAACAGAGACGCCGCCCCGCAGACGGCGCCGACACTGAAGATCTCCCTCAGCTTGAGAAAGCCGCTGGCATAGTAGACGGCCGCCTGGCCGCTGGCGTAGTGGGTGATGCCTGTAATTTTTTGGGGGGGGGGAGGGGCGAACGGTACGATGGGCGGATGCTCCCACATGATGTGCCATGCGCTAGTGTGAAAAGGGGGTGACGATTCAGGACATGCAGCAGGTCTGAATTGCCTGGATTGACAACCACAGCAGGCACAGATGGGAGACAAGGCTTACACATCACGCGACGCACGCATCAATGTCGCCCTCCCCCTTTACACTCCCCGTTGCCATGAGAGGAGCTGCACATGTTCAGACGTCATGTTGCAAAGTCCGACACCCTCACCCCCGTTAATGCAGATGTTGTAAGCCAGAGACATCGCAGCCAGCTTGGGCGGTACCCCTGTTGGGGTGAGCGAGAGGGAGTGCGGCGCGGCAAGGTTGGTGGAGTGAGTCAAAAACTCAGTCCGCGACTAAGAGCAGCCGTGACAGCCCATGTCACAAGGGTGCACCCAACATATCGTCTCCCTTCCAATACAAGGGATGTGTTGGACGCACCCTGGTGATTTGGGCTGTCACGGCGGTGGGGGCAGCTACCCCATCTACAACACCCCCCTCCCCCAAAGAAGCAAACCACGCACCTCCCGCCAGCAAGAGCGACAGGAAGGCCGCGTACAGCGCCCCCACGTGGGCCGTCTTGGACGCAAACATGTAGTGCAGCAGGTAGAACTGGAGGTGCAGCGCCGCAAACAGCGCCGGCCAGGGCAGGTGCAGCGCGGTGAGGGCGCCCGAGGCCCAGTCCGTGAAGGCTGAGATGACGCCCTTGTCCTGAAGGGCCAGGCTCATGCTGATCAGGACTGGGGGTGTGGCAGCAGAGTTTGGTGTAGGGCATTGGGAGGGCAAGGGTGGCGCATGAGATACTATGATAATGGCTCGTAAGTTGACAAGGGGTGGAGATGTAAAATAAGAGCAAGACTGCAGCGGATTGGACGTGTTGCAGGACCCTGCCCCAATCCAGGCCGCGGCCCGGGTTGTCCCCAGCTCCAGCGCGCCCCTGTGTCAGCACCGCAGTCACCGTAGCCTGCATGTCGCCCTACCCTTGTTTCACGTCCATCAACACTCAATAAACCCCTCGTTCCCCACTCGCCGACGCCCCGGCACCCCTGCCCACCTCCGAACCAGAAGAGGGTGTCCCAGGCCTGGGGTGACCCCTTGAGGCAGTCCTCCCGCCAATCCAGCACGCCCGTGGCCAGCAGGATGCCCAGCGCCAGCATGGCCCCCACCACCGGCGGCACGCCCGCCTGCTCGCCGAACAGCTGCGAAGGGGTGCGGATTGGCGGGTGTGAGGAAGGGGCGACGGGAGGCAAACGTCAGGAGCTAAAACAGTACAAGGGGCTACCCATGCGGGCCCATGGGGGTCTGTTAGAGCTGTGTAAAGTCACGTGCGACCCGGCTTGGGCAGCACATGCACCATGCAGCATGTGCACTTGAGACAAATCATTTTTTGACGATGTCACAGGCACAATTGCCAAAAACAAACCTCACAGGCAATGCCACTACGTGCATAAAGGAAGGCATGCAGACTTGTGGCCACACAGCCACACGACCCTGACCTAAGTGCCCATCCCAAAAAAAGGATGCTTCAACAACAACTCAGCCTCCACCCACCCATATGGTGAGCGCCACACCCACTGTACCCAGCATGACCACCTCGTCCTGGCTGCAGGGGGTTGAGGAGATGTGGAACAGCAGGGGTGACGTTGAAGGGGTGCAAGGCCGGTTTTTGCGCGAGCATGTGGATCGAGCAAAGGCCTGCGTTGCATGGAGCATCAAGCGGCCCCCGGCCTGGTGCGCGCCCCAACAGGCGCGTCCATATCAGGGGCCTGGCGGCCGGCCGCCTCACGTGAGGGTCCCGAGCTCTTTGAGCCGCGCGGCCGCCATCCTGGGGGCCTCCGGCGTGGCGGTGATGGCGGGCGGCTGCAGCTGGTACACCAGCAGGGGGAGCAGGAACGTGCCTGGTTTATAAGATATAGGCGTCGGGGAGATCCGATTGTTCTTCGTTATGATTTGCGCGCCACGATGCAGCAATGGCGTATGGGCCGCGATCAAAATGCGGCGTTGTTAGGCGCCGCATGCGAGGACGGTGTTACAGGACGGCCCACAGCAATGTACAAATGGGGGCCAGGCAACCCGTCCTACTGTGGCGCAGCTGATCAGAGGCGCAAGCCCTGAGAGCACAACCACCACGCACCGATGACACCGGGCACGATGGCTCCCTCCGACCACACAAAAAAGTGATTCCCGAGGTCAAGCCCGGCCGCCTCCGCCAGCTGCAGGCACAGCAGGTTCTGGGCGGACGCAGTGAGAAACAGGCTGCAGGTGTGGCTGCTGGACTGCAGCTGGGACTGGACCAGGTACGCCCCTATCTTGGTGCGCGTGTCGGCTTCACTGCTGGCGCCGATTGGGGTGGCAGCTGCGCATGGAGGGCCGAGGGCAGCAATGAGGGTGAGGTTGATTATTTAGGGAGGAACCAGCGGACAGGGGCGGCCGCCTCCCAATGGGGGAGTTGCAAGGTGACCGTGGGATATGTGTGCTGCCGGCAATGGGCCTGATACAGGAGGCAGCAGGTCTGTAAGACTCAGGGGCTGACTTGCGGGTCACCGGCCAAGAGCGGTGGAAGGGGGGAGGCGGCTCACCATCTGGGAAGCTGCCGGAAGCTGCGGAGACGCCCTTGATGACCGGCAGGAATATTCCTGAGGGCCGAAAATTCGTGTTTGTGAGTCGTCACAGAGGAGCAACCCCTCACGACCGTGTGTGGCCAGTGGGGGAGTGGGGGGTTGCAACTGCTCTATGTGCACATCAGCAGCGCAGGGCCGCTCCCCTGCGCCTGCAGCCCGCCGGACCCCCCGTCGTGTTGCCCGCCCGCCCTGCCTGAGTCAGCCCCGCACCCGCGGCGCGTGCCGTGGTGGAGGGCATGCCGGGCGCCAGCAGCGCCTCCCCGACCGCCAGGCTGAGCGCCAGGCCGCGCGTGCTGCCGCCGAACCGCGACACTAGCATCTCCGCTATGCGCTCCCCCAGGCCGCTCTTCTCAAAGCCCTGCCGCGAGGTTGCAAATCAGGAACGTAGGAGGGCATGCGATGATGGATGGATGCTTGGCCGATTTGATAGCAGGAGAGGCAGCGGCCCATCATTTTGTCAAAGCGACGTCGTTGTCGGCCTGGTGTTTTCCGCAAACCTACTTTCACCGAACAAACAAACCCCACCATCCCGCACATCACCCCACCCACTTGCACCAGTTGACCCATCCACCCACCGATCCGCCACCCATCCGCGCGCACCTTGGCCAGCAGGAAGGCCAGCACTATCAGCCACAGCACCTCCGTGTCGGCGGCCGAGAACGCCTCCTCAAACGTCAGCGCGTGGCTCGCGATCGCGGCCGCGACACACATCAGCGCCTGCGGCCGCGCGGCACAGCACATGGGGCGGCACGGTGGAAACCACTGCAGGCGCTTCAGCGGGCCGCCTGCCAAGCCGTAATCGGGCGCTGTAGCTGCAGCGGCAGCCCTGGCAGGGCCTGCATGCAGCACACATGGTGGACCCCTTACTATTCCTCGGTCCTGCACCCAACTCGCACCCCACGAACAACAGTGTGGTGATCATGGCTGAAACTTACCCAGGCCCCTGCCGGCACAGGCTCCAGGATCAGCCCAGACACGGTGGTCACGAAGAACGCCAGGAGAGACCAGGCCTGGGGAGGCGGGATAGGGGGGGTGTTGAGGGTGGGGGGTGGGGCGTAACTTCCACCCCTGGCTGCATGGTGGCGGGAACGCAGCATCAGATGCACCGCACCACCGCGACCACGCAGGAGCGAGACGGGACCAGAAGCGAGTGCGCGAAAAGGTCTGAAGGGCGCCAGCAGACGACCAGGCGGCCTTGCAACTGCGAACAGACTTGTCATGAACCGTCACCATGCGGCCCGCCAGGTCAACAGGCAGCGGCCCTGCCTGCACCCACCTGCGGTTCGAGGCCCTCCGGCACAGGCGCCAGCCACCGCACGGCGGCGCCAAGCGCGACCGCCGCCGCGGCGCTGCGCAGGTTTGCGCCCTACGGGCACAGGAGCGAACCGGTGCACAGCGCCCGGGGCGCGACGCAGGGTCGGATGATGCTGACGAGGCGCGGTGAGGCCGCACCACATCGCCTATGTGGACGCCGTCACATGGGGCGCTGGGGTTCTGCCACACGCAGTGGCGGCTCGTCCGCCATCCAAGCGAGTGCAGCACACACAGTCCCCAGCGACTGTTCGGCGAGGCTTGCGGGTGCCCTTCACCTAGCCGGCACCCCCCTCCCTATACACACACACACACACACACACACACGCACACACACACACACACACACACACACACAAAGGCTCACCCGTGCACTGTCACACGACAACGCGCACACGTGCACACGCACACGCACACGCACACATGCATACGCGCACACGCACACACACTTGCACACATGCATACATCTACATATCCACGCACCTTCCACGCCCAGGGCTGGCGCTGCTCCTGCTGCGGTGGTGCGGCCACGGCGGGGAATGGGCTCACATCGCCAGAGTCATGAGCAAAGCCCTTGGCCTGCACGTCCTGCATTTCATCCTTGACATGCTGCTGCAGGTGCTGGCCGGACTGCTCCTGCTCCTGCTGCCGCTGGGCGATGGCCACACGTGCGCGTGGCGCCGCGCCGCAGAGAAGGCGTGAAGCGCGTTTGCCGCAAGCACTGGCAACGTTTCCGTGGCGCGGGCATGCGGTCGGTGCGACAACCGCGTGATGGCCATGATTGTAAGCTAATCGCGCGTTGGTCCGCTGGCTTGAGCTCCGAGGTGCGCCAGTACGGTCTGTGCAGCCATGCCGGGCTGCTGAGCCTCCTCTGCAGGCATGGGCGTGTAGTGACATGATAGTGTTAACCATGTTGTACGATCGTGGCACGCCCGGATTGCGAGCGGTGTCACTAGAAAAGTCCAACGGGTGTGCAGGTCGCGACATCGGCCAGTTCACGGTTCACGTCTCTGGCGCACCTAACCTCCTATACCAGAAATCGCCGTTTGAAACTTCTTACCACATACGAAGTCCAAGCTGTGGATATCGGCACACGTCTGGGTTTGGATCGTGCTCGCTGTTTGCTGGATCGCTGGATCGCAGCCCATTCGCAATCATGTCGCATTTCACATGTTCCTCACCCCGGCCACGGCTCACGGTTGCCGCGTCCGCATCACCACCGCACGTCGCGTTTCCCCGACAGCATCGGCGCAGGGCCTGTGTGCCCCGGGCGGCGGCCTCTGCACCGCCCGCACAGCAGATGCCGTCGCAGGAGCGGCGGCAGAATCTATGCGTGACTCCCTACGGCGTCGATCCCAAGCCCCCTGTTGGCATCAATACCGTCGACGATCTTCACCTCGGCCTGCCTCTCTCCCCTGGCACCCGGTGCAAAATTCTATTCTCGCTGTACGACTCCCGCGCCCAGCCGGCTCCCATCCAGCCCGACGGCTCAAGGGTCGACGAGGCGCTGCTCCTGCCCCTGCAGCGCGGGGGCCCTGCTGCAGCGCCGGACCCCCACGTGATCGAGCCCGCCAGCGGGTCGTGATGCTGCGTCGCGCGCCGCGTGAGCTGGCCCAAAGGCATCGGCGACGCGTACGACGGCACCGCGCGGTTCCAGGTTTCGATCGACCGGCGGGTGACGTTGGGTCAGCTCGAATTCATTGGCGACGTCGACATCAGAGGCGTGACTGCGGTCGTGGAGCCGCTGCACGACAGGCGAGCGCGCGCGGGAGGGCCGAATCCGCCCCTCATCGAGCCGCCCCACACTCATCCGCACTTCGACCAGCCGTGGCTGCGCTTGCTTGAGGCTGCCTGCACGGCGACCTCGTCGCCTCTCTGTTCACTCGCCTGCCTGTCAACTTGATCAGTTGTTTCGCTGTATGGTGCCCTGCAGAGCCCGGCACTTGCCCAACCCCACCCATCGCACCACCCCCGGGTCCCCACAGCTCTGTTTACGGTGTGCCAGCCCCCGCGGTGCGCGCCGCGTTCAACGCCCTGCGCGGCGGGCCCTCTGCCGCGGAAGACGGCGCAGCGCCCGCCGCCGACGCGCGGGCCGCGGCGGGGCGGCTGGTCGCGGGCGCGCGGAGCGTGGCGGGCGCGATGGCCGCGTGGCACAGGGTGGCGGTGGCGATGACTGAGGAGTTACATGAGGACGGCGGCGGCTACTTGTATGCATTCAACGCGTTTTCAAAATATGCTGAGGAGGAGGCTTTCTTTGTCGCGGAGTGGGCTCTGGGCGGCAGCTTCCGGCACCAGCCGGCGCGCGACGCCTCGGACGAGATTCCGGAGTGCTGGGTGCTGCGGTATGATCTGGATGGCCTGATCGAGGCGGTGTTCGGCGCCTCAGACGCCCGGGGCAGCGGCCGCCGTCCTCGCCGCCGCTGGCCTGGGCGTCTGAAGGGCGGCCGCAGCAGCAACAGAGGTGCCGGAGGCGGCGTGGCGCTGTCTTGGGAGGGGCTCGAGCGCCTGTCGTTCGCGCCGTTCGCGACCAACGACATCTGGAATTTCGCCGTCGCCTGGCGCGAGGCACTCGCGGCGCCGGCCCCTGCGCCCCCGTCGCGTGCACAAGGGCAGCTGGCGGCGAACCGGCTGGTCGCCATGGAGTTGATGGACCTCGGGCTGCGCATGGACGCGGCCGTGGAGGAGGCGCAGCTGCTGGCGGCTGAGCTGGAGCTGCTGTGGGAGCTGTGGCTCGCGGCCAAGGCTGCGGGGTTCCCGGGCTTCGAGCAGCGGGCGCGGACCTACTCGGCGCAAACCCAGAAGTGGGTTGACGAGAGCTTGGAAGTGAGGGTCATGATGGCACTTGCGGAGCCCCAAAGCCGCACGGGCCGCCCGCCAGCTGGCGGTGGGGATGGGGGGGCCAAGGCGGGTAATTTGCAGCTGGCTATCGTGCTGGACAGGATGAAAGGGCAAGAGTTTCAGCACTTAGAGTCTTGGTCACGGCAAGACTCTCGTGCGTGACCTGGCGTCTTGAAAACATATGTGGCAGTATGCATGTGCACCAATGTGTGACTTGTAACAATGCAGTTTGGTAAACATGTGCCAGGATGAGTTGGCATCCTGGGGTTGTAAAGTAGATGTTCACGCATGGCCCTGCAGCTCACACACCAGCATCCCAAGACAGCAGGATAACAAAACGTGCATGTTCAGCCAGTCTTCAGTGAGCAAGCATGTCCTGCGTGATGCTGCAACCCTTTGCCCATCTGGCTGCAAGGGACTTCCATGGTGTGTTTTTGATGCTGCTCAGCGCCTTGCTCTTCACCAAAAGCTGGTGCCCAGGCGCCCAAGGCACCCGATCAGCTGATGGCGTTGCCTGCAACGTGTGGTGGAGCTTCAAATTGCCCAGTTTTCAGGGCAGAAAGTCCACCATATGCACGGTGGGTTACGCGCTTGTCTGCAGTCCAAGAGTTGACCAGGGGCTGACCATGCTTTGCTCCAGGCAAGGTTCAGATTCAGCCTCCTCAAACACAAGCAGCCTTGAGAATTCCAATTGAACCCTTAGTATTCAATTATATGGAGGGGCCCGGGATTGTTGGGAGCAGCGCAGCCAGGTTGAGATATGACTATGCCAGCTTCCAATTGTCAGCCAGTTAGTTAGCTGCATTAGGGTTAGTGGAGGTGCAGTGCGCCGGCGGTGCGATGGAGGCTGCGACCCCTCTCAGCTGCCTAGGGAAATTTGACTACCGACCACGCCACTGATTGCCCAAGAGAGCATCTGGCCGGATTGAAGCGCCCCTGACCTGCTGGTAATGACTTGTACCTTTTGCATTTGTGTGCATTACAGCCCTTGTTACTCAACACCAGCAAGGTGGAATAGCACTGCTTTCATAATGCAACAGCAACTGCACACGCAGGCGGTTGATTATTCCCGGTAAGAAAAACGATCCGCAAAACACGATACAGAACTGCTGTTATTCTCCTGCCACAGCACGCATACCCCCCACAGGGGCTGGGGCAGCTTCATGAGCAAAATGCGCTTGTGCGTTGCACCCGAAACTGATGCCTGCCCATGCTCTTGGAGCGCGCATGTCATGCATGCGTCAGATCATCAGCGCCGCGGCCTGCCACTGCAGCCGCCGCACCCTCTCTGCCTTAGCCGCAGCTGCAGCCCCCAAAGCTGTCAGGGTTACCCCCTTTGATGCTGCCTATCCTAGCTGCTTCAGCCGCCCTGGACGACACTTGCCCCTCTGTGTCAAAATCCGCCCCAACTGTTGCCACCGCCACCATAGCCGTACGCCGCTGCGCCACGGCTGAGGTCGGCGCCGTGGTAGCCCCCACCGCCGTGGTAGCCCCCTCCAGCCGGCCCGCCATAGACGACGCCACCCCCATGGCGAACAAACCCACCGCCGTTCCCCCAGCCGCCGCAGCTGCCGCCAAGGACACCGCCACAGCCGCCGCCATGGCAGCCAACGAATGCAGGTGCGCCCTGCAGCGGCCTCGGCGCCTGCATCATGGGGGGCGCCGCGCGGCCTGCAGGAGCGCCCTGGCCGTCGCCTGCCCGCCACTGCGGCGACGCACTGTGGGCCCAACCGCCCGGCGTGCCGTGCATGTCGCCGGTCCCCTGAAGCCGCGGCGGGCCGTGCTGCCCCACATCAAAGCTGCCGAGGTCGAGCCCTGGCCCCCTGCATCCTGCAGAGTGCTGACTCCAGCCGCCAGCTGCCAGCCGCTGCGGGGGCCACCCCTCCACGCCCGCGTGGGTGAGTGGTTGCCGCTGCTGCTGGCGCTGCGCATGTGGCTGCTGCTGCTGCTGCTGCTGCTGCTGCTGCTGCTGCTGCTGCTGCTGCGCCCACTGCTGCTGCTCCTGCTCCTCCACCTGCCGTTGCAGCTGGTCTTGCTGCTGCTGCTCCAGCTGCTGCTGCTGCTGCTGCTGCTGCTCGCGCAGCTCCTTCCGCGCCCGGCTCGCAACCTGCTTGCGGTGCCGCTCCCCACCACGGGTCGAGCGCCTGCGCTCCCTGAGGGGCCTGACGGCCGCCGGCTCCTCCCCTTCCAGCCCCTGCCAGGCCTCGTCGTCGTCGCCCGCCCCTTGCGGGCTGCAATCGACGTTTGCCCCGGCAGTCTGTGGTGAGGGCGCCTGCTCCTCCCCCTCGCCCTCATCCGTGCACCGATGCAGCGCTGCGCCGCCAGTGCTGCTGGCGCGCGGCGTTGCCTCTTGCGACTCCTGGGGGGTGCCGGCGTCGTCGCTGGCGCCGGGGCTGCTGTCCATGAGCATGACTGGAGCCAGGGGTTCTCCGGTCGCCTGAGGTTGGGGGTGCAACAGCCAAGGTGAGTGAGAGCGGCTGCATCCCACGGACGAGGCCCAGAGGGTCACCCAATAACGCTCAAAGACAGCGGCATGGCAGGCCCCATCAGATCTCTGCACACGGACGGTTGTCGCCCTCAGCCAGCCCAGCCAACACCCCAGCCTGATAGCCCCTCACCTGGTCTTGGCCCTCATCCATGGCCCCACAGGCAGGGGTTGGCTGCGGCTCCTGGCCTGGAGGGCCATGGGGCGCCTCCCCTGCCTCCATCTTGGCGCTCGTCGTGAGGGCCTGTGGGTGACGCGAGGGACGAGCGAGCCAATATGGAGCAGGCTCTGAGGCAAGGCCCGCCAAGGCCCGCGCAACAGGGAAGGAGGCTGCAGGCTTCACCAGCCCTTTGCAGGCAGCAGGCACAAGCAGTGAAGACGCCCGCAGGTCACAGCTGCAATCTAGTGCACACGCTCTTGAGCGCCTTTTAGGGATCTGAAACAGCCATGCCCATCAACCTTTACCCCCGGCAAAGCAACCCCTCACTTGAAATGGCTGTTCCCCACTCACCGCATGTCCCGCTGGCACATCCTCCTCCTCTTCTTGCGGCCGCACGGCGTCCGCGCACTCCGTCTCCTGGCGGGGCGGCGCTGCCGTCTCGGACGGCTTCTGCAGTCATGGGCGGTCAGAGGAGGCGCAGCGCGCAGCAAGGGAGGGGCCCCGTGGATAGGAAAAGCACGGTGCAATGCGTGGCTGGGGCCCGGGTAACCAGCATCAAAGCTTGCACACGAGTCACAACACGGCCGGGCATGCTCTGCACTGTGCCCTGGAGCGGCCACCTCCCTGGCGCTGGATGTGCGTAGCCCCGCCAGATGGGCGCCCTGCTTGGTCCCTCTGCTTCTAAGGGGCGGCCCATCCACCCACTGCTTGGCAAGCCCCTTCCGCGCACCATGATGAAGCAGCCCATGACATCGGCCGCCCCGGCAGCGACAGTGACGGCGCCGTGGGCGGCCTTCTCCTTTTTCAGAGACTCCAGCTCGGCAGCAATCCCCTGCAACCAGCAAAGAGGGGCCTCGTGGTCAGCATGGAACTGGCCGAGGGGCATGCTGGGTTCAGACACTGGGGCTGGATCGCAGCAAGGATGGCTGGCCAGCACCACCGCACAGTCGCCCCTTTGTCTAGGCAAGCTCACCTGCAGCTCGCAAGCCGCGGCCTGCCGCTTCACGGCGGCAAACGCGCCCGCCACCATGGCCGCCACGACGGCCTCACGCTCCCGCCTCTCGGCGCCAGCGCGCCGCGCCTCGGCCTATTGGGAAACGTTACAGCGCCAGGGCCCGTTGTGAGGCGTCGTTAGAGCACACCTGGGTAGAGGTTAGCTGGTGGAAAGCAACAAGCAAGGGCAGCACGCACAGGGCGGGCTCCTAGGCTACAGCACGCGGTTCGGCACCAAATCCTTGTCTACATACATGCAGCAGCCCCTCACCCCCCTCACCTGCTTCATTACCGCCTGCGCGTCTTCCATCTCCGCCCAGATGATGACCCTGGAGAAGGCGGTGGCGGTCACGTCCGCAGCCGCCAGCCTAGCGTGGCAGTCCTCCTCGTCCCTGCGCAGCTGCTCCACCCTGGCACGCAGCTCCGCCTCAGCCCTCTCACGCGCCTGCGGGGAACATGTGGTGTTGGGCGTATGCGCACGCAAGATGCACTCATGCATTCACAGCGCGCTGTGGATGTCGCCAACAGTGCAAGCGAGTTGCACCGAGGCTGGCGCGCGGCGCAGGAGTGCTGGTGGCCCTGGCCGCCAGTCTGCCCTGGCACAGCGCCGATAGCAACGGGTCTAACGTTCATGCAAGGACTGCCCAGTGCTCCCTACTCCCAAGCAGGGCGCGCCCCTGCCGACCCACCGCGTGCAGCACGCTTTCGTCCCGCCTCAAAGCCTCCCTGCCCTGCCGCGCCTCCTCCTCAGCCTGCGCCACCTCCTGCCGCTTCATCTGGGGAGTTGGGGGACCAAGGGGCCGTTTGAGGGGGGGGGGGGGGTAAAGGACGATGCGCAGGGCAGGGAGTGTTGGCGTACCCCGCTTGAAGGCTGCGTGGCAGAGCTCGGCCGTGCGCGAAATGGCGGCACATAGAGCAGTGCCCGCCATCGGCACCCTGCAGACGCCACGAGGCCCCACCACCCGCTGACCTGGCAGCAGAAGTTGAACGCGTCCTGCCTCGCCTCCAGCAGCTCGCTGTGGGCGGCCTCGTCCACGCGTAGGGCCTGGCGCTTCGCCGCCAGCGCCTGCGTCAAGGGCGGGCGCGGTGGATGCCAGGTCGCGGCATCGGCCTGGGTAGACGCATAAATGAATCGAGGGGCGGGCCGCTGCTGGAAAAATGCAGAGTGTTCGGCTGCCCCCCGAAAACGGAGCCATGCATATGGCAAGGGGGGTGGACCTGCGCCCGTCCTGAAGACAACACCCAAGACTGACAACCAACTCCCTCACCTGCTCCTCCTCCGAGACCATCACGCGCCACTGCGCCCGCTCCAGCTCGAACGCATCAACCGCCCGCTGCAGCTCCTCCATGCCGTGCGCCGCGGCCTGCTGCTCGGCCTTGGCGAATGCACCCGCCACCATCGCCGCCACCAGCGCCTCGCGCTCCCGCCGCTCAGCGTCGGCTTGCCTTGCCTCAGCCTGCCGGAGACGATGCGGTTACGGCGCAAGGGGCGATGGTGAGTGGTCAATTATGCACCAGAGGGCAAGGAGTGAGCAAAGGCAGCTGGCAGTGGCCACCCACAACCAAGACAACGACACATTAGGCCCTAAAGCCGGGCTATGAATGCACAAACCTCCCTACCTCCGGTGCACAGCCCTTTAGTCCATATACTCTGCCGGCCCGCCCGCACCTGCATCACGGCGGCCTCTGCGTCCGCTGCCTTTGCCCTCATCATCACATTTCGCACGGCCATAGCGGCCATGCCCGCCGCGACCAGCCTGGTGCGCACATCCTCCTCCATGACCTGCAGCCC